TATGGCCCTGACACATCTACCTGTGTGTGGGGAAACTGAGGCACGTGGCAGCACTGGGAGCCAGGCTGACTGCAGGTTTGGGCAGAGGGAGATTTGTGGATTGTGCTTCAAAGCACCAACTTCCCATTGAGGCGGAGCCTGAAGTAGCAGGAGGCAGAGCTGTCCTCCCTGCCTGCCCAGGCAGGGCCACACCTTGCCTTGTCCCTGTGCCTCCTGTCTGCCCAGCCCCAAGGGGAGAGGATCCCCTTTGGTGGGCTCAGCCCTGCCTGATCTGTCCCCTCCCATTTCCCAGGCTGGTGAGTGCGGTGACACCTTCTCCACCTTTGATGTGCCCATCTTCACAGAGGAGTTCTTGGACCAAAACAAAGGTGAGGGGCTGGGCTGTGGGGCGGGGGCTGATGGTGCTGCAGCATCTGCTTGGGGGATGGCTGCAGGAAGCAATGGCACTGCTGGAGCAGCCTGCGTCCCACAGGGCAGGACCACAGCTGGCACTGGGTGCGAGATCCAGGCTGTGAAAGCTCCCTGGTGAGGTTGGATAGAGGGATGGGATCCTCACTGGAGCCTGGGGCTTGGTAATGCTGAGCCTCTTGGAAGAGTGTGTCTGGGGAAGGGATTGGATTTGGGATGAGGGAGAGAGTCAGAGGGGCCATCCCTGCTGACACAACGTGGTCCCAGCAGCCCGGGAGGCTGAGCTGCGGCGCCTGCGGAAGATGAACACAGAGTTTGAGGAGCAGAACGCTATCCTGCAGAAGCACACAGAGAGCATGAACTGTGCCAAGGAGAAGCTGGAGCAGGAGCTGGCCCAGGAGGAGAGGCAGACCCTGGCCTTACAGCAGCAGCTCCAGTCTGTGCGACAGGCCCTCACCGCCAGCTTTGCCTCCCTCCCCATCCCTGGTGAGTTTGGGGCAGCCGTGGGGACCAGTCTGCTGTGGGACCTGGTGGCCATGTGGAGGGGCACTGCTGGGACTCTGCGTGTGGTACAAGTAGGGGCAATGGGGTGGTGATAAGTGCTGATCTGCTGGTGGGGTGGGATCCTGGAGCACTTTGGGGAGCTCTTCAGGGAGCCCAGGGATGTGATATCCAGCTGGCCTCCCTATAATGGGGAGCTGTCCTCTCGAGCCATAGTCATGGTTGTGCCCACAAGGCAGAGATGAGCCTGAATCATTTTGTTCCTGGTCTTGTGCCGAGGCAGACTCTCTCCTGCTGCAGAAGATGGCCCCTGGGTTTGGGGTCCCTTCCCCAGCCACCAGCACAATGGGCAGGGCTGGATGGGGATTTGCTGGCCCCGCTAACTGGGCTGCCACCCCACAGGCACCGGGGAAACCCCCACGCTGAGCACTCTTGACTTCTACATGGCCAAACTGCACAGCGCCATTGAGAGCAACCCGCTGCAGCACGAGAAACTGGTGGTGCGCATCAAGGAGATCCTGTCCCGGATAGCCAGGTGAGCTGGGCAGGGCTGGCCGGAGCCAGTGCCCAAGGGCCCTCACATCCCAGTGGGCACTGGGATCACTGGGTCAACCTGTGGCAGAGTGGGTGATGGGAGCTGAGCAGGGAAGGTGTGGGCAGAGGGGGGCTCAGGGCTGTTGGAGGCAATTGTGGGAGGGAGAAGCTACCCCCCTGGAGTTCAGCTTTCAGCGAACACTTGTGAAGAGGACCAGTCCCTTTCGGAGCCCAGGGCCGGCTGGACCATGGCCCTGTCCCTTGGAGCTCACGCAAGGGACAGTCTCTGCCAGTGGTCCGGCTGCTTCCCCCTCCACCCCCTGCACCTCACTGGAGAACTGAGCCGAGATGCCCCCCAGCCCTGGTGCAGCTGCACCCCGTGGCTGCACTATCTCTGAGGACCTCGAGCTTCTGGGGACCAAGCAGTGACAGGGCTGAGAGACTCCGGCTGGCACAGTGCTGGGCGAGGTGGTCAGCGATGGGCGTGAGCATCCCCCTCGCTCTGCAGTGATCCCAGCTCCTGCAGCTCTGCCTCCCTAAACCAGGGACTCCTGTTTGGTGGCAGAGGAGGTGCCGGCAGGTTACTGGCCTGGAGTGAATCAGCCTGTTCCAGGGTGACCTGGGTGCTGTTACCCGTGGTGGAAGGGAGGCAGCTGGGTGCCCTGGGAGCCCCTGGGGCTCTGTGCTGCCTTCTGACCCCTAGACCAGCCCAGGGAGCCTCTTGGTCCCCTGTCCCATAGCAGGTGAGGTGACCTTGTCTCTTGTTGTATTTAACCTTCCTGCTTTGTTGCTCCCCTATGGGTGCCTTCAGCCCCCTGCCCATGTCACCCTGCCTGTCACCTCTCCTTCCCACACACCTCTGGCACCAGGCAGGGCTGCTCCTGTATTATGCAGCAGTGAAGACCAAAAAAATCGTGCCAGAGGGGAAGCCAGGACTGGCCGACCCTTTTCCTGCCCACAGTGAGGAGCCCGAGGGTGCTGCACAGGCTTTTGGCTCCTGCCTCCCTGTGCCAGCCTGTCCTGCACGGTGGGACCACTTTGACAGCAGCTGTGTGCTGGCTGTGCTGGGGTGGGCTGTCCTCGGGGCTGCCTGTCACTAATCTCAGACTGTGTAATTAGAGAGTGTCTTATTTTCTTACTAGCACTACATTGATCTGACCCTGGGTTTAACTTGGGGCTCGTGTGGGACTGCTCGTCTCTCACCTGTGAGGTCCATGCTCTGTAGCTGAGTCTCCTGGTTGCCATCTCCTGGTGGCCTCTGGGCTTGGGATGGAGTTGGGAGCAAATAAACGTGGGAGAATCAATCAGCCTTGGCTCTGTGTGTTCATGCTCAGAGGTGGCTTTGGACCTGCTCCCGGCTGTAATTCTGGGGGCTTTGGGGTGTGTAGGAAGGGTGATGGCCCTGAGCTCATCGCTGCAGCCCCCAGCCCCAGCTGGGGAGGGTGCAAAGGAGCTGGTTCTGAGCTGGCTGTTCTCCCACCTCCTACAGCCTGACCAGAGCCCTTCCTATGTGGCAGAGCTCACCTGATACCAGGTGGGTGACCTGTGGCACCGGATTGTGTTCCCAGGCCTGGTGATCACCTTACGGCTGAGCTGGGAGCCAGCACCCATCTATAATTCAGCAGTGCCGGCAGCAGGATGCGGCGGGCGGGCAGGCACGGCAAGCAGGCCCAGGAGGGCAGCCCCATGGAGAATGGTGGGGGGCAGGAGCCAGAGACTCCCGAGCCACCTGCCGCTGAGGGCATCCCGGCACCCCGACCACCCCGTCCCCGCCCCCGGTTGGTGTTTCACACGCAGCTGGCCCACGGAAGCCCCACGGGGCGCATCGAGGGCTTCACCAACGTCAAGGAGCTCTATGCCAAAATCGCTGAGGTCTTTGACATCTCGCACACCGAGGTGAGGGGGGGGCAGGTGCTGGGCCTGCTTGGGGAGTGGGGAGGGGGCTTTGCACCCAAAGAGGGGGAATGCTGACCCTGTGGCACTGTCTGTGGCCAGTTCTCCTGTACCCAGCTGCTTGCAAATGCAGCCCCTAAAATGCCATCAAAAAGAGCATTTTAATCTCGGGGCAGCCTTGTCCCCTCCAGGGAGTGGTTGGGTGACTCTGTGCCTCAGTTTCCCCCCGGCACATGTGCGGGGAGTTGGGGTTGCCGCTTCCCTGGCTGACGCTAGCTACTGCGTAGCCTGGAGCCAAGGGGAGGGTGCACAGGAATGGTGCAGTGCTCAGTCCCTGGATCCCTCTGCTCTGACAGTGTCCAGACCTGGATAGCTCTGCCCACAAGTGGCATGTGCCCTGGCACTGTTGATGCCCCCTGCCCTGCTGGGGCATCCCCAGCCGCTGATGACGGGGTTCCCTGGGGCAGATCCTCTTTTGCACGTTGAACACGCACAAAGTAGACATGCAGAAGCTGCTGGGGGGACAGATCGGCCTGGAGGACTTCATCTTTGCCCATGTCCGGGGCGAGACGAAGGAGGTGGAGGTGACCAAGACAGAGGACGCACTTGGCCTCACCATCACAGACAATGGGGCTGGCTACGCTTTCATCAAGGTGAACTACCCTTGGGACTTGTGCTGGGGCCGGTCCTTCGGGCTGTCGCCCTGCAGGGTGATGTCCCCTGCTGAGATGACCCCCATCCCTGGGACCATGCTCCTTCCCTGGTTCCCCACGTCTGTCTTCCCCAGGGTCCACCCCGGCCCTGAGGGTGTCCACCACCATGGTGCAGTTTGGGGAGGACCCTCCTTGCCTCTCTTGCTAAAGGACATGGGACCACAGAGGTGTTTTTGCATGGGGTGGGATGGGGGCTATGTCTGTCTGTCCTTCCTCTGGTGCCACCTTGTTGTTGTGTGCCCACTGTCCCCCTCCGCGGTCCCCAGAGAATCAAGGAGGGGAGCATCATCAACCGCCTCCAGACGGTGTGCGTGGGCGACAGCATCGAGGCCATCAATGACCACACCATCGTGGGCTGCCGGCACTACGAGGTGGCCCGGATGCTGCGGGAGCTGCCCCAGGCTCAGCCCTTCACCCTCCGCCTGGTGCAGCCCAAAAAGGCCTTTGGTGGGTCTGAGGGGTCCTCTTGCTTTTGCCCAAGATGGGGGGACCCCTGGGAGGGAGCATGGGGAGACCAATACCCTGTGGCCCTCCTGCCCTGCAGCTCCCTCCCCAGGGACCCCCACTCCTGTCTGCACCCCGGCTCTGCACCCAGCCCTTTGTGTACCCTGCAGACTCAGGGCACCCCTGCATGGTACCCATGTGAGTCCTCCCTGAGTCCCCACACCTGCCTGTGCTCCCCACAGGCACCCCCACTCCTCTGGGTGCTCTGTCCTGGCCATCCATGAGCACCATGTGCCTCCTCACCCTGCACCCATGGGTTTCCCTCACACCCATGCTGCCTGTAAGCACCCCCCTCCCCATGCATGGCTCACCCTTTGGTGCCCCCTCAGGGTGCTGGGGTTGGGTGATGGCCAGGGTGGGGGACAGGACGTGCCAGGTTCTGCCCGTGCCCTCACCCAGCCTCCCCCCCCCAACCCTGGGGTGCAGACATGATCGGGCAGAGGACACGAAGCAGCAAGTCCATGGGCGAGGGAAGAGTGACCAGCGGGAAGGAAACATTGCGGCTGCGGGCGCAGGGCCCTGCCACGTTGGAGGAGGGGGTAAGACCCCCTCAGAGACCCCCCACCCTGAGCCCACGGCCACTCACACTGTGCCTGGCGTGGGGGACGAACATCTCTGTGCCCCTGGGTGAACCTTGCACCACAGCTCCATTGGGTGGATTTCTGGGTGCCCACACGTGTAGCACCCATGGGCACGATTCTGTGGGGGTCCCTGGGCTGTGCCCCCTTCCCCTGGCACCCACC